TCCTCCCTGACTGGCCTCGGGGCCCACTGGGTCCCCCGTGGCTGGGTGGCCGCCCCGGCCCTCACCTCTGTTCTCTGGAGGAGGGCAGAGCAGGCAGAGGAAGCGGAGCGGAGGGGAGGAGCTGGGCTGTGTCCGACTCAGCGCCCGTGGCGTGGTGGGTGGCAGTAGAGGGCCCTGGTGCCCTGCCATGGGGGCTGTTGCCTCCCCTTCACGGCTTCCTTAGCTCCCTTTCTTGGCATGTCTCCGGAGAGGCGGCCCCAACCCTTGTGACCTAGAGCACCGTGTGAGCCTGTGCGCTGTGGCCATCGGGGGCCCGTCCTCCCTGGGGGTGCCTGCAGCACTCCCACCCCCAGTTCTGACACCCCGGAGTCTCCCCAGCCCAGGCCAGGGACACCTGGACGGCCGGGGTTCCGAGAAGCCCATGGGAAGCCAGCTTCCCGCTGAGCACCCCCTTTCCACCAAACCTGCCCTCTTCACTTCCAGTCTTGATTAGGGGTGTGGACAGCTCCACAGAGCCCAGAAGAAGAGAGGGCGTGCACACACGTGTGTGTGTGCAGGGCCCAGCACAGGAGCCCCTGCCCCCGCTGGCTGTGTTTCCTCACGTGCCCTTGAGGGGTGGGTGGGGCCCTCACGGCAGAGCAGAGCTTTGGAGGACAGGACTGGGTCTGCTGGGGTCAGGCCTGGAGCCGGGGCTCTGTCCTACGTGGCGCTCTGTCTGGGGGTTCCCAGATGTGCCCTCCTGGGCAGGCCAGCAGGCAGCGGGGGCCGGGCCTTGGGGGGCCGGGCAGCCTGACTGGTGGTGCTCTACTTTCCTGCCACCCCAGGATGAGGCGGAGAGGAGGCCTCACCTGCAGGCCTCAGGCAGAGGCAGCAGGCCCCAGACCTCCAGAACAGTCCCTGGCATTCCTTGGGGCCCTGCACGGCCGTCAGAGCCACGTGCCTTCTGGGGGACCTAGGGAGGCCAGGAGAGGAGTTGAGAAGGCCTGGGGGGCTCTCGGACTGTGTCCTGGGTCTCCAGTCTGAGCCTCAGCCAGGTGACCCCCTTCTGCAGGAACTGCCGCCAGGGTGCCTGGGTGGCTGCTCCCGGGGCGAGGGCTCCGGGCCCTGTCTGCCAGGCCCAGCTCCTTCCCCACCAGCGCCCTCTCTCCTTTCGCTGTCCTCTCCAGCGCCTTCCTGCAGTCCTGCCATGTGCGCCCCTCCCCATGTCTCCCTGCAGCACCCCCACTACCTCTCCACCACCCCCACGTGGTGTCGTTTCCCTGCGCTGCGACAAATCGCCAATTAAGCAGCCCAGCTGCAGGACAGGGAACAGCTGGGAAGGCGCTGTGCGGCCGCGGGGACAGCTGTGCACAGCTGGTGGGTGCTCCCCCCCTCGCTGCCGTGCCAGCTATCAGGTGGCACACAGCTGCCGCCAGATAACACCTCTGCTGGCGGCTGGGGGGCCGCCCTTCCCCCCCCC